TGCTCAGCTTCCCGACGCTCTGCTACGCTATGCCACGTTGGGGGCGAGGGGCGGTCGGGGCCTGGCGTCGCTGACGTCGTGAAGTCCGGCCGCTGGGCACTCCGGTCGCTGACGTTGTGAAGTCCAGCCGTGGCGAGGGGGGCACCGCAGCCGCTGACGGGGAATCCAGCCGCGGCGATCGGAATCCAGTCGCGAAGAGGGAATCCAGGCGTGGCGATGGGGGCCCAGACACAGTGCGTTGGGATCTGGTCAAAATGAGACCCCAAACGCGCCAGTGTTAGCCGTTTCTTTGTTCGAGAGTGTGAGCACTGCGAGCTTTGGGCGCAGCGCGGGGTCCCTCGGCCCACGGGCGAGGACATTGAGGCCCACGACAAGGCCCACCGCAACTATGATATGATGTGTTGCGCTATGTTATGCTACGCTATGCTGCAATGCTATACTATGATGTGCTCTGCTACGCTAAAGCCCAACGGAGCTAATATGAAGGTAAGCTAAGCTACGATAGACCTGAGCGAAGATGAAGCTAAACTAAGCTAAGATGAAATAAGCTAAGCTAAGATGAGATACGCAACGCTAAGCTCAGGGGACGTAGCTGGGGGAACCGCGGGGCGGATGCTGGGGGAACCGCCCGGGGCGCTTTCCACGGCCCGGCCCATTAAGCCCAGAGGGTGAGTAATAACCCTTCTAGCCTCTAGGCAGAGCCTAGGTAGGGAATAACATGTATCAATCCTCCTCAATTCCATTCAACCTCCAAACCGTTTGGTCCAAACCTCCATCAGCGGAGGAGGGGGGGGGGCGACGACGTTGGCGGCGAGAGGAGGAGGAGGGGGGGCGAGGAGCCCTCGTCAGCCTCCTCGCCCGCCGGCCCGATGGGGGCCCTGCCTCCAGCGCGGGCGCCGTCAGGCCTGGGCCGCGGCGGCCGCGGCTTGAGCGGCTTGGGCTTGGGCCGAACGGGGGGGGGGCGCTCAGGGTGGAAGGGGCGGAGGAGGAGGAGGGGGTGGAGGGGGGGTAGGAGGAGGGGGAGGAGGAGGAGGAGGAGGAGGAAGGAGAAATAATATTTTTCTCGATGACTCAATGAAAACGATGATGACGGGCGGGCAGAGGGAGGAGGAGAAGGGGGGGGCGGGGGCGGGGGCGGGGAGGCGGGGGGCGCAGGCGGAGCCGCAGGGGGAGCGCCCAATCCGTTTCCGATCTCCTACTCTATGAGGTACCCTGGGTAACCCTTGCATCCTTGCCTCCTCGGCGGTCCATAGCCAAGCGCCACTTCCCCGGTGAGGCCGCGCCCACCGCTCGGAAGCTTTCGAAAATATAAATAATAAAAATAAAAAACCAAAATAAAAATAAAAAAAAAAAAAAAAAAAAAAAAAAATTAATCGCGTCCTGGGCCCTTGCATCCCATCGCCCATCGTCGCGCATCCTGCCTGTGCGCGCCCTCCTTGCTTGGCCAGGGCGACGCGCGTGATCCGATCCAGCGCCCAGGATCGCAGGATCGGGAGGGGGAGGAGGAGGAGGAGGAGGAGGAGGAGGAAGGGGTGTGCAAGGGAGGGAGGAGGGGAAAAGGAGGGGAGGAGGAGGAGTAGAGGTGAGGGGGTAAGTGAAAAAAAGAAGAGGAGGGGGAAGCACAAAAAAGCAAAAAAAAAAAAAAATAAAAAGACAAAAAAAGAAAAAAGGAAAAGAGGGGAAAAGAAAAAAAGGGCGGGAGAGAGAGGGGAAGGGGCCTAGGAAGAGGGAATGTGGTGGAGGAGGGATGGGAAGTGGTGAAGGAGTAGTGCGAAAAAAAAAAAGGGAGTGAGGAACTCAACACCCAAACACCCGAAACCACAACCCACAACCGCCCAACCCCCAGACAACAACCTACCCAGCACAGGTACCACCCCATCAGGAGACTAGGGAAGGAGGAGGAGGAGGAGGAGGAGGAGGAGTGAGGAAGAGGAGGAGGAGGAGGAGCAGTCAGTCAGTCAGTAAATTCAATCAGACAATCCAATCAATCAGTCAGCCGCCCGAGTTGACTGACTCGTGCGTCTCCTCCTCCTCTCTCCTTCTCTCGCCCTCCTCCTCCTCCGCCCGTTCCTCCGCCCTGCCCCTCCTTCCGTCTTCCGGAGCTCATTCAGTTGTGCAATGTCCGGGCGCAGAGGCGCGCGCGGGCTTGGGCAGCCCGGAATGGCGTGGGAGCGCCTCGTGAGGTCGCTTGTCGCGTTGGCTCGCCTACGCGGCTATTGGGGCCAGCTGGGGAATTACTTGAAGGACGGTCGCCATGCGATGAGTTTTTGGCCCCCATCTGCTCGCGGCAAGTCCCGCCACCGTCCCCGAGTTGCGGGTTGTAGGCTTATGGGTTATAGTATCTTGTTCGTTCGTGTGCCGGGCCAGTTGGAGGCAGTTTGCAAGTCTCGAGTTTCTTGTGGGGGTTGCCCGGTGGCTTCTTCGGGTTTGGTTGTTGGGGCTTCTTGGGGACCTCGTCGAGGCTTGCATTGCAGGGAGGGTCTTTGCAGGGTCTTTGCAGAGGTTCTTTGCAGGGTCTTTGCAAGGTCTTTGCAGGGGGCGGTGCGATCGGGATAATATATATGATATATGATATATGTGACTGGGGGGGGGGGGGGGCCGTGCCCTTCGAAGATTCGCGGTTGGCCCCGAGAGGAAGTGAAATACCGAGCGCGAGTTGACCGCGTGGTGCTTCGTCGCAGCTCCTGGGCCATCATCGCCGAGCTTGGCCCCAAGTTCCAGCCCGCGCTGGCAGCGTATCGGCGCATGACCATCTCGATTCTCGCGATCTTCCGCGTGAGGAGCTATTTCGAGGAAAGAGAAGTATGCACATGCACCGATTCTGGCCAGGCCCATCCTGAGCCCAGGATCTGTGCATGCGACCTCCTGCCTTGGCCAGGAAAGCCTATGCACCGATCCCGGGCACAGGATAGGCCTGGCCAGGATCGGTGCATGTGCATACTTCTCTTCGCCCGACTATTGGGGCCAGCTGGGGCAGTATCTGAACGAGGTGAAAAAGAGGGGCACCATCGCGCAGCGAGGGCAAACGCGGCAGCCCGCAGCCGGGCCGAGTAGGGCCCCAGAGGGAGAGGACGGACTGGAGGAGGGTGGAGACGACGGGGGAGAATTGGGGGAGGGTGGGGGAGGCCGGGAGGACGAGGGCGAGGAGGACAGCGGAAGGAACGCAGACCTTGCACGCCAGAATGAGTTTCACTCGAATTTGCGTCCGGGGGGGGGGATAGCAAAGGGAGGTGCGCGACATTCGGGCCGGGCGAAAGGGGGGGATTGGGAAAGGGGGGGTTACGAAATTTGCTGCATGCAGCTGGTTTCGCCTTCACCGAAGGGCCCATTCCTCGAGATATAGCCGCCTGCGGCGCCGGGGGGCGCCGGGAAAATCAGCTACGCGAGCTGATTCTCACCGCCCCCCCCCTTTGCTACCCCCCCCCTTTCGCCCGACCCGAGACATCTGATGCTGACGCACGCAGCTTCCTTTCTTATTCTGGCACCTCCCATCCCTTGGGCCGCGGTTGAAAAACCAGCTGCATCAGCATTTGTAGTCGCCGCCCTTTTCCACCCCCCATTTTCGACCGCCCAGATCTTGCGCATGATGCGCGCATGGGACATGGATTCTGGGTCGGAACTTGCGGAAATGCCCCCTCCTCGCTCGCCCTTCCCCTCCTCCCCCCCCCTCCTCAGCGACGGGGGCTGCCGCGATTTCCCAGAGAGGGGGGGGCCGATTTACAGAGCGGAATTTGGGGCGAGAGAACCCCCCGGAGAGTTGAGAACAGGAGGCGCGTTTAGCAAAATGGGCTTTGTTTTTTTTCGCCGCCGGTGGGTTCTGAAAGCTTGATATTTGCGATCATCCTGGCAGCATTTCGATGTCAGTGGACCCCCCCGCGACGTCAGCGCCCCCGTCTGCCCCCCCCCCTCTTCGATGTCAGTGCCCCCCTCCCGCGGGGGCTCCCAGGGGCCCCGTCGTCGATTTCCTTGACATGCTTATCGCCCCTCTCAGGCCATCCTCCCTCCTCCATCCTCCATCCTCCATCCTTCTCCTCCTCCTGCTCCTCCCCCTCCTCCTCATCTCCTCCTCCTCCTCCTCCTCCTCCTCCTCTTTCCATCCTCCTCCTCCTCCTCCTCCTCCTCTCTCCCCTCCCCTCCTCCTCCTCCTCCTCTCCTCCTCCTCCTCCTCCTCCTCCTCCTCCTCCTCCTCCTCCTCCTCCTCCTCCTCCTCTCGGGGCTCTTGGCATCGCTCGGACGTGTGCGTTCTTTCCTCGGCGGGGACCATCGAGGAGCATCCTTGATGATTTGGCGAAAAAGCCACGCACGAAACCAGAAAAAACACAGGGAAGGGACGTCCGAACGATGGCCAGGGCTCTCCCGTCTGGAGCCTCGAGACGGGGGTCGATGCAAAAGGGGGTCAGCCAGAGCGCCAGAGCTCGCGGGATCCTGCGAAGATCCCCTCTGGCTGACCCCGGTCAGCGAGCCGCCCGTGGCCGCGAGGCGGCCGCGCACATATTGGCTAACCCGGGTTTGCGAAAACCTGCGTTGAAGTTTTTTTTTTTCTGCATTGCAGTTGTTTGGTTTCCTGCTGACCCGGGTCTGGATTGACCTGGGTCAGAAGATCCCCGATCTTGGGCCACCTTTGAGCCAGCCTGGGGGCCTTCGGAGCCGATCGCAGGCGAGAAGGCGAGAGCGCGAACATCGTTGTCTTCTCCTGCGAGCTTGCCTGGTTCCCCATGGTTCTTGACCTTTCGGGAGGTCCTTGGGAGGGTCGGTGGCCACTTGGCACTCCCTGGGGGCGGTCTTGGGGCCACTTGGACGTATGGTGGAAGCTATACTTGATAATCCTGAGATATATTGTGCGATCTTGGAGGCAGTATTGGGCTACCTTGTACCCGGGGCGGTCTTGAAGCCACCTGGGGCCATCTTGGACGCTTCAACGCGTCGCGCCCCTCCCCATCCAGACTCAGGGAGAGAGGTTGGGAGGAGAGTCGAACCACTGAGGAGGAGGAGGGGGAGGAGAAGGAGGAGGAGTGCCCGTACGCGTCCTGCCCGAGTCCGCTGCTGAATATTGAGTTGTCTTTTCGTGCGGCCAGCAGTCGTTGCCAATCCCATCGGCGCGAGGGCTTCTGAGAAGCCCCGCCGCCCTCCGAGGAGGCCTTCTCCTTCTCGCTTCCCCCCACCCGCTCGCTGCGGGACCTCTGGCGGGACCTGCGCCGAGGGGGGGGGGCCTCGGCGGCTCGCTCGGGCGGATGGCGTCCTGGCGCCACGTCCTCGCGCATCATTTGATGGGCCTGTTTTCCACCACCACCACCGCCATACGTTGGAGGGGGGAAGGAGGTGGAGGATAAGGATGGGGACGGCGATGGTGATGATGCTGCTGATGATGATGATGCTGATAGCGATGATGATGATGATGATGATGGTGATGATGATGCTGATGATGATGATGCTGATGTGAATGATGATGATGATAATGATGATGATGTTGATGCTGATGATGAGGATGAGGATGACGATGCTGATGCTGCTGATGATGCTGATGATGGCGATGCTGATGCTGATGCTGATGATGACGGTGATGATGCTGATGATGATGAGGATGACGATGATGATGCTGATGATGATTATGATGATGCTGATGCTGATGATGATTATGGTGATGATGGTGGTGGTGGTGATGATGACGATGATGATGCTGATGATGATGCTGCTGCTGATGATGATGACGATGATGATGCTGCTGCTGATGACGATGATGACGATGATGATGATGATGGTGATGATGATGATGATGATGATGATGATGATGATGATGATGATGATGATTCTGATGACGATGATGGTGATGATGATGATGATGATGATGATGATGATGATGATGATGATGATGATGATGATGATGATGATGATGCTGAGGAGGAGGAGGAGGAGGACGAGGAGGAGGACCCCCTCCCCCTCCTACATGGTGGTGGCGGTGGAAAACAAGCCCACCATCATTGCTGTTCTCGGCGAACAGCACGGCTGGCAACTCGTGTGGGCGAGTCGCCCAGACCCACGCGAGTGTTTGCCCTCGCCCCCAACGTTTGAAGCACGAACGCTCCTCACACTGCAAGGGTCGGATGGTCCTGTACGCCGTTGAAAGCAGAAAAGGCCCTTGCAGCTTTTCCCAACACTCCTGTGTTGGGCTTTGTTTTGAGTAGAGCACTGTGCTGTCCAAGTCTCCTCCTCCGCCTCCGCCTCCTCCTTTTCCCATTTTTCCCAGCCCTGCCTTGGTTTGGTTCTCGTTTGAAGTAGAGCACTGTCTGCTCCGTCCCTCCCTCCTCCCCTCCTCCCCTCCTCCCTCCTCCCTCCTCCCTCCTCTTCGCCTCTCCTTCATCCCCTCCCCTCAGCCTTCTCTCTTTCTTGTTCAGTCGTCATCTCCCTCGTCGAGACCTCGCGGCTCCCTGCGGGGCTGCGAACCGCGCAACTGTCGCCATTTTCGCAGGCTCCCAGGAGATCCAGCGCAGTGGAGGTCCACGCGGATCTGCCGAGACCTCACGGCTCTCTGCGGGGGCTGCGAGCCGCGTAATCGTCGTCATTGTCGTGGGCGCCTGGGAGGTCCAGCTCACACGCACTGTGGTCAATCAACATGTTTGTTTCTGCTTAGCGGTCCCAGATGTATTCGCCAATTGTGTAGAAAGGGTTGGGTACGCCACTGGGTAATTTTCACTCATCAAGCACGGCGTTCGGCAGATCGGGCATGCTGCGTGCGCTTGTCGCGCTCGCCCCGTCCCTAGCCGAAGCCTTCTGATTCCATGGCCAGATCTACGTCGATGTGGATTGCTCACTCGATGCCTTGGCAGCGTCTCCTGGCGAGGTTCCTCGCTTGCTTTTATCGAAGGCGCCTGCAGCGAACCACCGCTGCCCCCTGCCTGGTGGATCCGCCTACGTGGCCAAACGTTGGGCCGAAGTATTGCCAAGCCATTGGGCAATGTTTACCAAGCCTTTCTGGAAAGCCTTGGGGGAACATTTGCGCGAAGGAAGAGAGGAGGTGGAGGAGGAGGAGAAGGGGGACGATGAGGCTGAAGAGGTGTCCTCTTAAGGGCCTCCTGGGGCCTTCTGAGGGCTTCTTGGGCGCCTCTTGGGAGCCCCTGGGGGCCTATAATGGTCTGCTCGGTCTTTGGAGGCCGTCGTGGGGGTCTCACTGGGCCGTCTTGGGGCCTTCGTGTGGCGCTTTCGGTCCGTCTGAGAGGCTTCTGGAGCAGTCTCGGACCCCCCTGTGGGAGCTTCTCAAACTGTCTTGGTGCTATCTTGGAGGCCCGCGGGGACGTCTTGGGCCGTCGGAAGCCCGAAAGATCGAGGACCCCTAGAACTGCCAAACACCAACAGCAAATCAATGACTTGTTGCTTATGGTGGCCTCCTGGAGGTCCTCTTGGAACAGCGTGGAGCGTCACAGGGGCCGTTACTCTAAAGTGAGCTGGGATACAGGCAAGAGGTGACGAGCGTGTGTCCGCGGCCGTTTGTGCTCAAGCGGCCGGCCGCCCAGTTCTGACTACACTTCAGCGCGAGGTGTACCATTTTCCATCGAGACCAAACATCCTTTGCTTGAGATGGCTCGTCGCTCTCGCGACGATCTCCTACTACTGGGACTATCGTTACTACGGTACAACAGAGCTGGAGCTGGGCTTCGCCTAAGGCGAAGCTGCTGGTTGGGCCTCCCAGCCCCTTTCAAGCTTGGTAGCGGAGCTGGCCTATGGTGGTTAGCCCTTGCTCTACCCTTCACCATCCACAACATTATCTGGTGGACTACTGACGTGGTGGAACATCAGGGTGCAGTGGGTTTGCGCGGAGGAATGTACATAACTACGCAATACCGCAAGGACACTTGCAGTGATACCTCTGCCTACGCAGGGGCCCATTACTCGAGTCTTACATTCTGCGCTACTACACTCCTGAAGTCCACCCACCTACTCCAATTAGAAACTTCCTCGAAGACGTAATGCATGGAAACATGCGATACGACATTGTGCCGCCTCCACCCCCACGCAGGCTTACGACCACACACCACAAGCCCCCACCAACCACATCCGACTATGACCTACGAGGCTATTGGATTGGTATAGCTGTCTTTAGGCTCACACGGGTTGCTATCGGGTGTGCGGCGGGACACATACGTGGCGGAGACGACACAAGAACAACCGGCGCCCATTGGGACCCGGCTGGTCAAGTACATTTCCGCGAATTAACTCGCCAGGTGCATGCCTAGACCAACGTGACCACAGGCATTATGACGCCCTCCCGACACGTTGCGCCATTGCAGCGAGGCTTGGGAGGCCTCGCGCGGACCACAGCCATGAGAGTTCCCCCAGCAGTTATCCATTTCGGCGTTAACATAGGTGGCCGCCATACCGATGGCACCTAGAAGAGGAACCCCAACTCAACTCTGGCACAGCTCTCATTGACTTCCGAGTCCATGTGGGGTAACGGATCGACCAGACTTTGGCACGCTTCGAGATAGCCCGCTGTCAAGCTGAAACGGCAGGCCTCAACATCCTCATCATCCAATTTCTGACAATGATTTTCAGAGCTGTAGGAGTGGGGGCGTCGCGTGCACAACAACTCCTACAGCCACTCAACCGCCACCTGCCGAGGGACCAGCCACAATTTGACTCTCTATTTGGACGCATGAGGTCATATGCTCACATCGCTGAGAGAACCCCTGGCAATATTGGTGGTCTCTTCAGTCACGGTCACTGTGCCTAGACCTTTCGCGCTGAGGCCAACGCATGGCGATCTGCCACCAGCGTCTGGAATGACGATCTGCAACCAACGGAGACCACCGCACTATTGACTCAAAATGGTGGTTCGGCCTCGGGTTTTCAAGACTCCTGGACCAGGTTTCGGGGGCCGCCAAATTCGGCGGCCCCTACTCCAACCAATGCTCTAATGGGCTCACCAGGGCAACCTGCTGAGCCCGACTTCGACTCCGGAACCGACGCCGACGCGTCTTCGGACGTCGAGGCTACCGCCCTAGACTACTCCGACATGCCCTCGTGCCTCGCGGAAGAACAACGGGTGCAATGGTTATTCCTCGGATATTAGAAACATGAACGCAGGTGGAGAGGATGTATGAAGAAGCCAGTTCGTGAGGTACTACGTATTATCCAACGTGCAATCAGGGGGGGGGGGGGGGGGGGGGGTAGGGGTCGAGGCAGGGGTAAAGGTAAACGACGGCGACTGTGTGGCAGAGGCATGACAGCATTTCTAGCGCCCCTTATGGGTCCGCAAAATGAAGAGATGTTCCTAGGTGCAGGCAGGAACCGTAGGCATGCGTCAGTAAAAGGTCAGGGACGTCGGGGCAGCCCGAAGGATGCTAATTGTTAAACAATGGAACGTGACCTCTGCCATAACACACCATTTTCGCCGTGAGTGCCTTCGGGGCGATGGGGGAGGCAGAGGTCCGTCGATGCATTTGGCTCAAATTGATTCGGACATGCAGTATGTTGACTGGGGGGCACTCTTGGCCGACCCTGCCGACAGCTCAGCTGCAGTTGTTAATTTCATGGCTGCCAGACATTTGAATGCCTGTATGACCCTCGAGAGTTACGGCGGCGAGCTGTTCGAGGATATATTCGCCGGCCACAGTGAGATCGACCTGGCACACTGGCTGGGCATGTCCATCGCGGGGCAACCTGCTGATGTTGAGTTTGTCGAGAATTTCCATGTGCCTACTGAAGTAGATCGCGAAATGGCGGGGGCACCCGCGGACTCAGAAGCCGCTATTCCTGCGACAGAAGAGGAACTGCAATTGGTGCTCTACCTCGGGTTATGGGTAGTCCGACAAATCTGGAATTGAGCGATGACGACCTTTTGCGCGGAAGCCCGCGAGGTGCCGGCGATCTGTCTGAGCGCGTCCAGTGCGAGCTCGGCCACAACGAAGTATACATTCGCAGCTTCGGATCGTTCCCTGAGCCGCCAGGGGCGATCGGCAAGAGCCGCCAGACCTGGGGGCGTAAGTATCGCGCTGACGACGATGGCGAATAATTGGGAATATGACGCGCGTCTGGTACGCCGCGGTCGGGTCCGCAGTGGCTCGCCCGAACATGCGCGCGCTCCAGTGGCGCTCGCTCTAGCGGCCTTCAGCGCCCTCGTCCTCCTGATGCGAGGGCCCCATGGGCCCCTTCCAAGGAGGGGCAATGGGCCTGGCGCTCCACCGAGGAGGGGGCGCTCGCGGGGGCGCCCGCGTCAAAGGGAAGCACCTCAAGAAGAATATCCAGAAGGCGAAACACAGCGTCATGTTGACCGCTCGAGTGCTGGATCGGCTCGCCAGCACGTAGATCCCGATGCGGCGCGGCGCTGGCTGAGCCAGGGTTGGGCCGAGCGCCGGATTCGCCGCTGGTATTCTTCTCACAACTTTCAAGGAGATGATGAAGGCAAATTCATTCGCTCAGAAAAGAAAGGGGCGGACAAAACACAAGGGGCCCTTGTGGGGCGTGATTCCAAGATGGCCATTATCGGTTCCGCATGACACCATGGGTCTGGTCTTACGGTGATGGTCGGGGTCGCTGCGCCGATCCGAACGCGACGCCGCGCAGCGAGCAGTGGACGTACTTGGACTACGGGCAAGCTACAGCTCAAGAAATATCCCCCACCCAAGGAGATATGGGACAACCTTTCACCTGCTCATTATTTAAAGATGTCCAATCGCGATGGGAATGCGCGGGGGGGGGGGGGGGGGGGGGGCTGCTTCGTCCAACAAGAATGGCCGAAGCAGTGGGCCCCGCAGCTGAGGCTCCTGCGGGGTTCGACTCGGGTTACTCCGACCCCTTCTCCACTCCCGCAGACTTCACTTATGACCGGGGGGCCCCTGTTGATTCTGCGGGTGTCATCGCGGAAGAAATAGATCTCTCCCCGTGAAGACTAGTCGCCTACCACGTTGGACGGGTAGGTTGGATAAAGACTACTGTTGACGAAAGGCTGAGCGCTACTAAATATAACCTGGCCATCAGGGGCAAGGCTACCATTGGCAATCTGTTCCTCAGGAAGCCCGATGGGGTGGGCCTTGGCCCTGGCGGGGGGCCCGCGCGCCATGCGCCGCGGGCACCTGCAGGGGCAGCGCCATAGGCGCCCCCCCCAAGACAAGGACCAAGTCAAATAAATATTAGGTTATAATTGTGCCTGATATCTCGACTCGAGAAATCCTAAGTCAAACGGTCCTGATCAGCTCGGGCCACCGCCTGAGCAGAAGAGGAGAAAAAGCCCAGATGACCACAATCCTGGCGATAGCAAGCAGCAGCGACCTGCGGGGCAATCTGCTGATCGACGTCGATCCAGAGGGCCAGCAATGGCCGCCGCAGCAGCTGTATGTAAAGGCGCCAGCATTCCTACTCCAGAGGATCCTGTGGCACGTCGCGGCCCTACACCTGGCCGGACACGCAGGACTGGCTCGGCGCCGACGCTGGATGGGGTCATCGAGGGATGCCTCGTCATGGAGGCTCGGTGCCGAGCAGAGATTGCTGGGAACTGCGTCAAAGGCATCAGGGGCAGCTCCCAAAGACAGGAAGAAACGCGGGACTTCGACATCAGTGCCCCTCGGAGCACCTCTCGCACTCCCAGAGGATGCGGAGGCGCCGGCGCATCATCGGCAGGCGCCCGCGCACCTGCAGCGCCGGCAGCGGCCAAATCTGCAGGGCGGGCTGATTAGCCAGATCAGAGTTCCGCGGGGCAACCTGCTCTTACTCTCGAAATGCCTGTCGAGTGCAGACAGTTGGGAATCTACGCACCGCCAGGCTCATGAAGACCAGCCCAGCATATCGCCCCCATATCGATGACGGGTCTGATCGGTGCATCTCGGTGACGTGCGACGTCGAGGATGCTGCCGTCGGCGCCGATCAGGGCGCTCGCACGCGCCAGCCTGTGCGCAATCTCCTGCGTGGGCGCCGGGCTCTCGCTTATCTGTCCGAGAAAAGCTACTGGATGGGGATCCTTGAAGAAGATGGAGTTGTTG